CAGCAGTGGGGGCAGGGAGCAACAATTTGGGTCCCAGAGCCACAGCAGGGGTCCCACGGGCTCTGTCCCACTGCCCGTGTCCCCGTGTCCCTGTCCCACTGCCCGTGTCCTGTGTCCCCGTCTCCCCATGTCCCATGTCCCCATGTCCCCATGTCCCATGTCCCCGTGTGTCCCTGTCCCCGTGTCCCATGTACCCTGTCCCCATGTTCCATGTCCCCGTGTCCCACGTCCCCATGTCCCTGTCCCCATGTCCCGTGTCCTCGTGTGTCCCTGTCCCCGTGTCCCATGTCCCTGTCCCCGTGTCCCTGTCCCCGTGTCCCTGTCCCCATGTCCCTGTCCCTGTCCCCATGTCCCCGTATCCCATGTCCCCGTGTCCCTGTCCCCGTCACCATGTCCCTGTCCCCATGTCCCGTGTCCTCGTGTGTCCCTGTCCCCGTGTCCCCATGTCCCTGTCCCCGTGTCCCTGTCCCCATGTCCCTGTCCCCATGTCCCCGTGTCCCATGTCCCCATGTCCCCGTGTCCCTGTCCCCGTGTCCCATATCCCCCGTCCCCATGTCCCTGTCCCCGTGTCCCCGTGTCCCTTTCCCCATGTCCCCGTGTCCCGGTGTCCCGTGTCGCTGTCCCCAGGCCGACGCTGTCTGCTCCGTGCCCCTCCCCGCACCGTGCCCGGCTCTCGCCGGTGTTGGAGCACGAGCAGCGGGACCTGGAACCTCCCCGGAGCCGGGGCGGGCCCCGGGGCTGCCCCCGGCACCGTCCGGGCGGGCCGGGGTCCCGCGGCGCGGGGGGCACGGGGGGCTCTGACCCCGCGTCCCCGGGGCCCGGGGCGGCGGATCCTGCGTGTCTCGGAGCCCCGCACGCCCGGCGCCCCGGCACCGCCGCCCGCGGCCCCGAACGAACGCGGGCCGGCTCCGGGCGGCCGCTCCGGGCAGGCCCCGGGCTCCGGTGCCACCCGGCCCCGCCCGGGGCTACGGCGCCCCACGGCCCGGAGCTGGGACTGGGATGGGGACTGGGAGTGGGACTGAGACTGAGACTGGGATTGGCACTGGCACGGGGACTGGGATGGGGACTGGGATGGGGACTGGGATTGGGATGGGGACTGGGATTGGGGACTGGGATAGGGAGTGCGGAGTGGGACTGGGATTAGGATTGAGACTGGGATTGGCACTGGGATTGGGATGGGGGCTGGGATTGGGACTGAGACTGGGATGGGGACTGGGAGTGGGATTAGGACTAAGACTGGGATTGGCACTGGGATTGGGATCAGGACTGGATTGGGATCGGGACTGGGACTGGGATCGGGGTTGGGACTGGGATCAGGACTGGGACTGGGATCGGGACTGGGATTAGCACTGGGATTGGGATTGGGACTGGGATTGGGGCTGGGATTGGGATCGGGACTGGGGCTGGGATTGGGATCGGACTGGGACTGGGATCGGGACTGGGATTAGCACTGGGATCGGACTGGGACTGGGATCGGGACTGGGATTAGCACTGGGATCAGGACTGGGACTGGGATCGGGACTGGGATTAGCACTGGGATTGGGATCGGGACTGGGATCAGGATCGGGACTGGGATCAGGACTGGGACTGGGATCAGGACTGGGACTGGGATCGGGACTGGGATCGGGACTGGGATTGGGATCGGGACTGGGATTGGGACTGGGATTGGGGCTGGGATTGGGATCGGGACTGGGATCAGGATCGGGACTG